TTACAATCCTTTACCCGTTTTGTCATAACCCTCTCTTGGCACCCGAGCTTTTCTTAACACTCTTGTGAAACATTTGGCTAAAAACGTAAGTTTGGGGGAGAGACGAGGAACTTGAAAGAGGTATCAAGGCACAAAAGGAGAAAAGATAATTCCATGGGATAGGTGTTCTATATCTGAAAGCGATTATATTTCATAATTTCATGGTTATATTCATCATTTATTGCGAATTTAATGGAAGAAATTGAGAAAAATTGTCATATCTTTCAAAATTGTAAAATGGAGATTTGGAGGACGATTCATTATCGGAATTTGATACTTTTGGTATAGTTAGACTCGTATCGGAATGGGTGTTCCTATTTCGTAAAATTTTGTTGGGCTCCGAGGTACGGGCTTGATAAGTGAGGATTTTGACTACTTATTAGCGCCTTTTAACTTTTGTTTTAGTCCAAAAGCGTTTAATTGTATTTTCGAAAATTGATAAAATTTGCTAAATTGCAGGAATATTGGAAGATGGACTCCCGAGATAAAATCCAACTCAAAAAGGAGTAATCTAAACTCAAGGCCATAAAATACACATGAACTCACAAGTGCGGACAGTAAAATATCATCAGCGGCCGCAGATGATGAAGAAAAAGGCAGCAAACCTTTGTGCAAAGTGCGGCCCGAACATTAATTGTACGACCGCAGAAGATGGCTAGGAACAGAAGTTCAGAGAATGTGCATTCCAAGTCTCCCAGAAGGGCAGACCGCAAAGGAATTGTGCGGCCGCAGAAGAAGTGCTACGCGGCCGCAGATGTAATTGTACGGACCACAGAAGAGCAAGATGCGACCACAGTTACAATTCTGCAGACCACATAAAGAAGGCCTCGCGGTCGCGGATCAGAATTATGCGTCCGCAGATCTCCAGTTCCTACAAGTTGAAGAAATCTGCGGGCCGCACATGGAATTGTGCAGCCGCACAATCTCCCGAAGGGCATTTTTGTCCAAAATTTCCAGCCTTGTATAAATAGACGAGTTTCACAATTTTAGGTCAACCTTTAACATTAGCAGCTATAGTAGCCATTTCTCTTTGCTTCTTTTCGTAGTTTTTCATATTTTGGGATATTTAACATAGATTTTATCATTTTAATTTTACAATATGAGTTTAATTATCATTTCTTCTTCTATTTCTTCAATTTCAAGCATGAGTAGCTAGATTTTTACTAGGGTTGTAACCTAACCCTAGTGTGTAAACCTTATGGGTATTTGACTTGATGCTTGTTTATGATTGTGTATTTATTATTTAGCCTTGTTCATGCTTTAATTTGTGGAATTAATATTTTCAAACATTAGTTCATGCCTAGTTGACTTAGTCTCTTCTTGAGAAAGAAAGACTTAGTCTAGGAAAACTTGGCTAACAAGAAATTGGGTCAATTGAGAGATTGATAAGCCCAATTAAAGGGTTAAACTTAGAGATAGTAATAACCCGACTTGAGATCTTATCAACCATTTTGTGCAATACCCATTTGGACTTGAGAAAGCCAAATTGGGACTCTGTGACTGAGAAGTATTGAGTGGGTAATTGAGAGTTGATAGCTATAATACACCCCGATCAATAGAACAAGCATTAAGGTTTATATTCCATTAGGCAAACACCTAGGTGATGGTCATAGCCCTACGTTTTTTACAAAACTTTAAAAACAACAAAAAATAATTTCTTAGTTTTATTTCTCAACTTTACAATCTTAGTTTTAAATTAGACATAGAAACAACCCAAATTTGTGGAAGTATAAATTAAGATAGTCTAACTCGCTTACTACAATATATACTCCTTACTCCAATATATAGCTCCCTGTGAAAATCGACCCCGACTCTTATTGGGTACTATTATTGCAATCGACTGTTTCATAACCTTTAATTTCCTTAGTTTGGTGTAGCTATTCTCGGTGTATTTCTTTAATCATCTCATTCCTATTGTTGTCATTTTTGTTGTTGTTGTACTCAGTGTGGTTGAGCCGAAGGCTTGGTATGGTATTGGAATTATTTTTAAGAAATGTATATTCATTGTGTTTGTTATATATTTGAGTAACTTGCCTTGTTTTTTCGATGAGATATTTGATGTACTTGACATTTTTGATGATTTGGGCTGCAGTAGTACAGTTGCACATGCATACACTGTAACATACTACTTATACTAGTTTATGAGTACGAAACATGACATTTATTGATTATGTCCATGTACTCTGGTATTATCCGTTTTATGTTGAGATTGTAAGCTTGTGACTATGCTAGACGGATTGTATTATTGGCACGTGAGTTGTCTGTGCAGCACATGAGTTGTCCGTGCAGATCCACATATTAATATTATTGGCACGTGAGTTATCTGTGCAGCACGTGAGTTGTCCGTGCGGATCCACATGTTGATATTATTGGCACGTGAGTTGTCCGTGCAGATCCACATATTGATATAATTGGCACGTGAGTTGTCCGTGCAGATCCACATATTGATATTATTGTCACGTGACTTGTTCGTGCGGATCCACATATTGATACTATTGGCACGTGAGTTGTCCGTGAGGTTGTGATTTGAGATGTGGGCACGAGGTGCAGTGAGTATATGATGGTGGGTTGAGGCATGTGATTTGTAAAAATGAGATGAGGTACCACAGAGTGACTTTATTGTGAAAACTTGTGTTAGAAAGAGTTGATTAATTGTCTATCCTTGTGTTCCTTATTTGGTTTGAACGATATTTTATGGTGTTCTTATTGCTTTATTATTTATATTACTGGTTGATTCTTGTTGCCATCTATTACTTCATGTTTTCCATTATTAGTTGTATATTGTTATACTGTATAAGGTATTTGATTAGTGAATGTCTTGACTGTACCTCGTCACTACTCCACCGAGGTTAGTCTTGATACTTACTGGGTACCGACCGTGGTATAATCATGCTACACTTCTGTACTTTTTTATGGAGAGCCAGGTATTTGAGATATCGTACTCGGGCAGAGTTAGCTTGTTGATCGTAAGGATTCAAGGTAGAGCTGCTTGATTGTAGAAATCCCTTGGAGTCTTTCCTTATATTGTACTGTCAGCTATTATTTGAACAATATTGTATTTCGATCCTTGAGATCATTCCATGTATTCAATTAGAGTTCATGACTCTGTATTACCAGTCTTGGGAGATTGTTATAATTGTTTCCGCTTTTGGTTTCGTTACTTGTATTAAACTATTGTTTAAAAAAAAATAGCTTAAATTGTTATTGTAATCGGCTTATCTAATCTTAAAGACTAAGTGTCATCACGACGTTTGTGGTGTAATTTTAGGTCATGACACATCCTTGGCTCAACTACGTGTCATATTTGACAGACAGGCCCTCGAATAATTTCAGATAGACAATATTGTATATGATGTGGGCTTGTCTCCACCCACCACCTTCAAAAATAAAAGCTAGTCCACCATTGGCATTATTTTCAAACAGACAGTAATTTTGACGGCTTACACCTTGTTTGAACCTGTTGTATTGTATCGTATTGGTACATTAAATATAATGTTTATTCTGATTGTTATTTAAATTTTATTATATTGTATCATTAAATCCGTCGTTACGTAACGACGAAAAGTGCCACTTTATGGAACGACCAATTTGGTGTGATCCTGTCGCTACCTTGATTTTTTCTCTCATATTATCCTTTTTTATTATTAAATAATCGTATTTTATCCTTTACCCAACCTTTTTATATATTAATATTACCTCGTACCTTACTTTTTCTTTATAATATTGCAAGTTTATTCTTCATATTATTGGTGCATGACATCATGAAACGATGGCTAACATTACAATCTATCCAAACATTGTATACATTAAAACGATACATTGTAATACAATACAATGCTATATAATACATTATGAAACGATACACAACAACCATCCAAACAAGCTGTTATCCCCCCCCAACACACACACACACAAAAAATTTTGTGGCATTAATGCTACTTTCTCTATTCCAATTTATGTGAGATTTGCAGATATCGAGAGTCAAATTTGGTAATTTGATTGTGAATTTGAACATAGAATCTTTAAGTTTTTTGTAAAATAAAGGTTACATATTTGAAAAACATAAAAAACACTATAAGTTAAAATAATTAATAATTCAAAATATTCAAAAACCAATGAAAAAATGACGATCTGAGAAAAAACTTGTTTGGCTATCAAAATCCGAACCCCACCACATAGAGTATTACTTATGCGAGTTTTTACCGTCAAAATTTTGTTGAAATTTTTGGTTTCAGACTATAGGGGACTAATCTTGACCACGTTGCCCGTCAAAATATAAGTAGGCTCATAAAATAAGGTAGTATTCGCTATTTTCAAGCTACAAATAACAAATTATAGAGTTTACCCGATACAAGCTCACGAAAGCCTGTAATTAAAGTTTATGAATTAGCAAGATGTAATATAATGAAAGACTTCATGTTTTACTATTGCTTCCCTGTTAGTCTCAAGCTGATTTCAAGAAATAGAGGACCAGTATAGCCAACAGCAAAACCAATTATAACAAGAGTTTCAAGCTTTAGTCTCATGTAACCATACTTATAAAATGTTATAGTCAATGAAATAGCACATAGGTGTTAGAGAAAAATCCTTCATTAATCATATACTAAGAGTTTCCAAAGGGATTTAAATGATTCTGAACTGCTCCAACCATCATTAAGGCTTAGACTTAAATGCTCAGATTTTTTGAATAGTTGAACCACATACATATCATATGCTTAGCTACTGACCAAACTCATAGACAACCGTTAGTACTGTTAGGATCAAAATAATCAGACGTCATGCGAAAGCTAGTAAAGCAAACCCTGAACGACGATAAATCAGATAACAGAAGAAAAATATACCAAAAAGAGACACAAATATTTAAACTAAGGCCATTCTTGACCAAACTCATAGAAAGTCCTTATCGTATTCTCTCCGTCTCATTTATGGGAGAGTCTTTCCTTTCTAGTCAGTCCCAAAAGAATAACATTGTTCTATATTTAGTAAGTTTTCAACTGTTCTCTAAATCTCTAATTGTTGTTATATCATAAACGAAGGATTAAGTTAAACTATTGACAACATGAAGTACAGAAACATCTGCTTCCACAATGCAGCAGTCTTTGACAAGGAAGCCTTTCTTTGGATCCTTCAATACACTTAGCCGCATAAATGCCGGCCATCCCCAACCGCGAGCAGCAGCTGCAAACCAATAGAACGTACAAGTCATCTTGTGATGTGCACCAGTAATCTGATCTTTGACAGAAATACTACATTTTGCCTGGATTCTTTTGCGGAAATCAAATCCTTTAGCATCAACTGATTCAAGATAGATGGAGATGTTCTCGCCTTTTTTATCACCACCTGTTGGATATAGACAAAGTTTCCTGCATCCAAACACATCAAATTGTATTTACACTACAAAGAGAATCATGTGCGACGAATATAAATATATATGACGGATAAAAAGAGCATGAACAATATACCATTTGTAACCCCCAACTGTTCTTCAGACCTCACAGTATTCGTCACCTTTGTGAATTCTGAAATCTTCCATTTGTGCTTACGAGATTTGCTCTGATCCAACAAGGATACGCACTTACCTACTCCGTGGTTCTTGATGACATATACATCAACTCCAAAGACACATTTGCCATTAACAAGGTAACCCTTAGAGGGCTCTCTAAATGTTTCATGAGATATACAGTTCGGGAAACACCATTCAGTCTTGATAGTGTGGAATCGTTGCTCCATTCCTGTAACAAAGTATTGTCATATGAAGTAGTACTTTATGTCCTACTTAAATTTGAAATTATCTATTTATTCTACTATCAGGTTTTGGAAACTTCAAAGAAGAGAAGTTCCAGAAAAAGGAACACAATACCTCTCATTACAAGATACTTGTCATGAATTTGATCAAATATCAAGAAGCTAAATGTGGCATTCACCTCCCAACCAGCCTGTAAAGAGTTTGTCTCGGCTATGGCCAAGTATACAGAAATATGATCACGTCCATCTTCACTTCCATCTCCATCAGGATAGATGATCAGTTTCCTGTCCAAAATGCAGTGAACAGTTAAATTCATAACTACACGGGATCAGTGTGAGCACCTAATTTTTTACCATGCTTGAATTTTTTCTCACTCATCTCACCAATACCTCACTTCTCATTCCATCTTTCCCGCTCCCATCTTTCCACGCGTGTCCCCACCCCAGTTCCCTTTGTCCCCCATGCTTGTCCCCCCACACTTTGTCCCCACTCCACTTTCCCTTATCCCCATGCTTCTCCCCACTCACAACCCCCCACATGTCTCCTCCTTCATAAGAAGATCAGCCTTGTTTCCACACAAAGGAGACCCCGCTGAAAAGACCACCTAAAACCATCATTGTCCAGCCCTAAAACCCAGCAAAGAATAGCCCAAAAATGAGCTCAAATCCCTCACCAAAATGCAACAAAGAAATCCGAAAAACCAGCTTCTAACATCACTAAAAGAGCTGCAACTTCAGTTCCATTTTCAGCCCATGAACTCCAAGTTTTAACCACTAAAAACGAGCAAAAATAACCCCAAATTCCAACTCTAAAACACCCCCAAGAATACCCCAAAACCCAACCGAAAACGTCGCCCAAACTAGCCCTAAAAACTGTCCGCAAGATAGCTCCAAAGAGCAGCCAAATCAGCTGCGAAATTGCTAAAATACCAGTCCAAAAAATCCAAAAAATCCGTCCCAAATTCTGCACCAAAAACCCGACTAAACACCGCCCAAAACCGGCCACAAACATCCATCGAAATGACCCACCCGAACTAGTTGTCCAAAGCTAGTCGAGTCGGTATAATTTTCGTCTAGATCTTGGTTTCAGGTCGTCATCGAGGTTATGATCGATTGGCTCTGTTGCATTTGAAAGTCCCTGTTTTCTCTTGCTTCGGTCAAATTGTAGTTGCCAATTTCCTTGTATTTTGGCATCGATAGAGATTCTTCAATGTAAAGGAAGTTTCAAGCAACAAGGTCCATTCTTTACACTTATGTTATCTCAATTTGGTCTTGCTAGCATAGTAAAAGATTCTGGTTATTTGTTGCTCTTCTGTGTTGTTTTGTCTTTAGTAGTAGTCTTAATTAGCTAGTCTTTTGTCTTATGCCATGACTTGATCTGTGAGATTCATGCTTAGCTCATTATTTACAATTTAATATTTGTTGTATGTTGATTTGCTATCTCCCCTCATTATAGTTAATACATTATCATCATGTTGGATTAAAGAAGCTTTGTTTGAATTCATTGGAACTTTAGGACAGTTAATCATGTTGGGCTTTGTAAATTCACGGGTTTATGGTAATTGATGTAATCTTGGGCTTTAGTTTATTCTTACATTTTAATATTCGGTACATTAACACTTGGTTTGAGATAAGTGATTTGGCTTATTTTACGTAATAAATAATTGCTTAAATAGCTCCAATAATAACTCTCGAGCCTCACAACAATCTCAAAGGTAGGAAAACAACAAATTATGAATATAATTAATATGTTTTAGGTGCTTTATTAATTAATTAATTATCGTGATTATGTATACGTTCGCGTGACATGACCATGATTCCCAAACTAAAACCGAAGTATGCGTTCGCGCAACTTTGAGCGAAACAACCTTAATAAATAATGTGTTATTAATCGTACAAGTACACGTGACATGATTTTAACACACTAAATAAAACGGATTTACACACACATGGTTCGTTTCAAGATAATTTTCATAAATCTAATCAAGCAATAAAAGCGTACATAGATAAAACATGGAAATCAATAAATCACAGTTTATCCAAAATTAATTTAAGCCAAGTTGTAGTCAATAAAGCGACCGTGCTAGAACCACGAAAATCGGAGAATGCCTTACACCTTCTCCCCGGTCAACAGAATTCCTTATCCGGACTTTATTTTCGCAAACCAATAGTAAAAGAGTCAAACTTTCCTTTGATTAGGGATTCAAATAAAAGGTGACTTGGAACACCAAAAATCAATTTCAAGTGGCGACTCTATAAATAAAATAATCCCTACTCAAATTTATCACTTTAATTGGAAAAACTCTTTAACCCACAATCCATAACACATTATCGTTTTGGGGGAGCATAAAAGGGGTGTGACAGCTATGGAGACTCTGCTGGGGACGCCCCAAGAATTCGAGCTTGTGCATTGACTTTGTTTGGCTTTATTAATTTTTGTATATATTGTAATTTATTTGGGCCTAATGTGTTACTGGTCCACTTTTATCCGTTTTGATATTGTTGAACTGTACATATAAATTGTATCCTCTCGCACCCCTCTAAGTCTTCTTATAGTTAGTTATGTTGTGTTTGCCTACCAGCATCACAAAATTTCTGTCTTGAGATAAAGCCAGTTAACCTACCAGCTTCTGGTGAAGGATTTAGTCACACATGCTTAGGCAGAAGAGTCGTTAGCTAGTCAGTGATGTTCTACTACTGGTGACGCTTGACGCTCCTCGGCTCGGATTGTCCGCCCGGGTAAGCCAGGTCTAGATACCATCTCCTTTAGGATTTACAAACTTAGAAGAACAAGCCACAAGCAATGAATATCCCTGGTAGGCTACGCTTTATTTGCATCATATGCATTTGACTTAGCAGCGCTCGACACAGAGGTCGAGTTCAGTTTTAGGACAGGATTTGTTGAGACCATTATGTCATATTATGGCTACTTGTTGCATTATTTGGGAGGCTTGCATGTCGATTGGCTTTAGCATATATCAGTTGAACGAAGAGAGAAAAAATAATGTGGTTTAGTGCATATGGCTTTTAAAGATTAATTTTCATAAAACAAAAAAAAGAACATAGTCGATTTTAACCGAACTACGCGGGTCTGATTCTCACCGGATGTGAGATACGTAGGCAAACCTCATCGATTCCGGCCCCCGATTTTCAAAAATACAAAAAAAATCTTTAATTTCTTCTTTAGAAGTCTTTCTTTGAGACGTCAAATCCAAAATTTCAAAAAAATATTTTTTGTCATTTTAAATTTACAAAAAAAAAAATCAAAATTTTTTCTTTCTTTCTTTTTTTTATTTAAAAAAAAGTATTTCTTTCGAAGATTCCAAAAAAAAAAGAAGCAAAAAACAAAATCTGTCTTTAGAAGTTTTCTTTCAACAAAAAAAAAACAATTCAAAAAAAAAAACCGAAATATTTTTCCTTGTTAGCAGCTTTTATGGGATTATTTGTATATGAGTAAAAAAAAAGTTAGTTTATTTTACTTTATTCCCGATTTGCCCAAACTATGCAAGATCTGATTCATGCGGCGTCATGATACGTAGGCAATCCCCATCAGATTCGATCATTTATATCAAATAAACTGAGTGAAAAAAAGAGAAGAAAGAAAAAGAAAGAAAAGAGTGACAAAAATAACAAAGAAAACAAAGAAAAAATAATAATTAAAAAAAAAAAAAAGCAAGAGTGAAAAATCCAAAAATAGAACAGTGTGTCCAGTTTGACAAGAAAATAGCAGAAAATTTTCGTAAATATGCCGTCAAATGGGCCGAGCAAGCCGCCATGGAAAAGCCTCCAATGGACGAAGCAGAAATGGTTATGGTCTTCCTACAGGTCCAAAAGGCGGACTACTTCCAGAACATGATGTCCATTATGGGTAATCCGTTCACCGAGGCTATCAAAATTGGGGAGATGGTCGAAAATGGTTTAAAAACGGGCCGAATCTTGAGTCATGCTGCTTTTAAGGCCACATCACAGACCGTTCAAAATGGTTCACAGTAGTGCTTAGGGATGAAAAAGCCCCTAATATGATGAACAATTCTCTGCCTCCTCACACCAATGGGCCAGTAGTCAGAATGATCTGCGAAGATGAGGAATTTGATCTAGCACTGAAGGCCATTGCAGCCACTGCCGAGACAGAAGAAAAAAAACCGGTCGCCAAGCCTAAAAGTCCCCCATCAGACGGGAGTCTCGGTAGCCAGTCTTGCTATCTTTTTTGCGTCCGGATTATTTCAGGGTGTAATCCTTATGTTTTACTTTATTGTCTTACTTTCCGATGTAAACCTTTCTATCTTTAAAATTCAAAAAAAAAAAAAATCAAAAAAAAAAATCAATTAAATGAAATTAATATTTCATTGTCTAGGAAAGTCTCTTTTCTTAATCTTGTCACCTTTCTTGTTCTCTTTTCAGTCCTATTAATTGAGATTTTAATAACATGACATGCTTGCGGACTTCATACCCATATACTAAAACGCCGTCAGACCTCGAAATAATGAATCAAGAAGCAGAATGTGTTAAAGATAAGGCTTGTGAGAAAATAAGCAAAGAAGTGGAACACTAGGCCTAAGCCAAGATCCAAATGAAATCGGAAGAAGTTGAAATTCCCTCTCTTTGGATCATTGTCGAAGCTGAGATTGAGGATAAAGATTGGGTCAAGAACCGATTTGGAACAATTGACTATGATTGATGAAAAACGTATGGCCGCAGTTTGCCACGGGCAGTTGTACCAACAAAGAATGGCCCATGCTTACAACAAGAAAGTGCGGCCTAGAAAGTTCAAAGGGAATGTCTCCGAAACAACTATCTATACAGACACGCTCAAAAGGTATTATGTTTGACCCTTTTACGTATCTTTAATGTTCTCTGATTGGGATGACGAAGGCTTTCATTCTCGCTACCCAAACACTATCAACCCTTTGCAAACCCCTTTGAGCCGGTTACTTTTCTTTTATTACCCTCTTTGGATCCTGAAAGTTTTATGGAAAAAAAAAAAGAAAAGAAAAAAATTAAAAAAAATTAAAAAAAATTAAAAAAAAATTAAAAAAATAAAATAAAAAATCAAACAAGTTCATGTTAATCGAACTACGTTCGACTTGATTCTGAAAGAATACGTAGGCAGCATCTCTCTGGGGTTCAGTCACACCAAAATAAAATTCTACATTCCCCCAAAAGTTGAAACTGGGGCAGGTGTTATAATGGTTCGGCGATGGTTTCGCCTGAGAGGTTCCAAAGTTGTAATTCAATCCAAATCCTTTTTACCCAAATCCTTTTCAAGTCCTTCCGATCAATCAACGAGAATGTTCAAGAATTAGAGGATACAATCACTTGGATCTGATGCCACCAAAATGAGAGAAATAAAATGAGAGAGTCTTATTGGTGAAAACCCTCACGGGCACCATAGGGCGATGACGAGCAAAGAAAATGAAAATGAGAGAGTCTTGTTAGTAAAAACCCGCAAAGGGCACTATAAGGAGATGGTGAGAAGAGA